GTGTGTGTGTGTGTGTGTGTGTGTGTGTGTGTGTGTGTGTGTGTGTGATTTAGCCTATGGCCAGACTATAAGCTTCTTGGGGGCAGGGACTGTTTCTATTTTGTCTTTGGATTCCTAGAGTCTAACCCAGTGCTGGGTACACGGGAAGCACTTTCTGAATGCTTGCTGTATATTTAGGTATGATGTGAAGGGGATTCTTGTTCAGCTACAGTTTGGACTAGAAGGCTTTTAGTCCTTTCCAACATATATTCTGTGTGAAAACTTAAGTGACACATTAATTATGCATATGTCTGCTCTGGGTAGATTTAGTCTGCTCTTGAGCCGTTCAGAGTTGAGAAACACTTTGGTTAGAGTAGGTATAAATTCTGTTACTCTGATTAGTTATGAGAATCATTCATATTTAACAAGTTATTTGGACTTCCTTTTTAAACTTATATGGGGTTTCAGAAATTATATTTGTATCATGTAGAGTGTGTATATTTTTGCATTTTAGTGGATCAATGGATTCTCTTTTTCTCTATTAGTCATGAATGATGCTGTTTGGAATCCTGATGAAAGAAAGACAGATGCATGTATTAACTTATTATTTACAAAAAGTTGCAGCCTAATTTCTGTCACCTGCAAAATTTAGCTTCATCTTCATTTTTAAAATAAGTTTCATTAATATATTTTTATGTCACCATAGTTTCCCCCAGTATCCCTCTTCCTTTTCCTCTCTGAGAGCCATCCTATATAACAAATAGTATTTTTTAAGACAAAAAGAAAAAGAGGAAAAATCAGCTTTGCTAATTAACATATTAAAGAAGTAGGAAAATATGTGCTATGACAATACTTGAGGACCTCTCAGCTGTCCAGAGGGGAGTGGGTTGGGGCGTCTCTCATATCTCTTCTTTAGAAGAGATGTTCTTTACAATTTTGTAACATTCCCTTGTGAATTTTTATTGGTATGGTGGTTCTTTTTAATTACATTGTTGTAGTCACTGTGTATATTATTTTCTTGGTTCTGCTTACCTAATGGCATAAGTTCATGCAGCTCTTTTCATGTTTCTCTTTATTCATCACACATATCAGTTTTTATAGCACAATTATATTCCATTATGTTCACGTATCATAATTTGTCTAGCCATTTCCCATTCAATGGCTATCTCTACTTCTTTTCCAAATCTTTACTATCATCAAAAAGTACTGATATGCATCTTTTGTTATATATGGGGATTTTTATTTTATCAATGGCCTCATTGGGAATATGATCCCAGGAATGGAATCAATGGATCAAATCATTTGGATTTTTTAGTCACTTTATTTGCATAATTCCACATTGCTTTCCAGCTGATTCTCAGCTCCACCAACAATGCACCAGTGTGCCTATTGTCCTACAACTTCTCTAACATTGACTCTTACCATCTTTTGTCATCTTTGCCAATTTGCAGGGTATGAGGTAAAGCTGCAGAGTTGTTTTGATTTGCATTTCGCTTATTAGTAATTTGGAGCATTCTTCCATACTTTGCAGTTATTTTGAAAACTTTTTATTCATATCCAGTGACCAATTCTGTATAGGAGAATGGTTATTAGTCTTTTATATTTTAATTGTTTATAATATATCTTGGATACCAAACCCTTATTATAGAAATTTGATACACATTTTTTTCCTATTTGATTGCTTCACTTCTTATTGTAGGTGCATTAATTCTATCTGTGCAGGTACTTTTCAGTTTCATGTAATCAAAATTAATGATTTTATCTTTTATGATCAACTTAATCCCTTGTTTGGTTTAAGAATACATCTACTCACAGCTGGCAGAGGTATATGATTTTATTCTCTTCTAATTTTTTTATAGTATGATTTTTGGTATGAAGGACACATACCCACTTAGAATGCCTTGTGGAATATAGTACAAGGTATTGGTCTAAGCCTCGTTTTTGCTAGAATGCTTTCTGTTTTTCCCAGCAGATTTTATCCCACCCTGGTTTGTTGAGTTCAGTTGTTATTGATTCTCTTTTGTCTAGTTTATTCCATTGATTGATCTCTCTCTTTTTAAACCAATACCAGATGGTTTTGATGACTGCTGTTTACAGCATAGTTTTAGGCCTGGACGTGCTTTTATCATTGTTCGTGTCAGTGTGATTTCAAGTTGTTCCTGAAAGTAACTTCATAAATCTTTGTAATTCTGTGATATTTTATTTTTTGTTAGTTCATAAATTCTTATTAGAGAGCTAAGACTATACCTGCTTTCATCCTGCCTTATGATTCTTTGTTGTATTGTTCCCTTATCTCCACTCATTATTCCCTTGATAGAGCTTGCTCTAATAGACTTTTGATAGATTTGAGTGGAAGCCTTATGTATGCTGATGAGAAGAGCAGACTTTTCTCATCACTAACTGCCCTAATCCTTGCAGCGTGTAAAGTAAGAAGCAGCAGAGGAGGATGAATATTAGACTTGGACCTTGGGGTTGAAACACTTGGGTTCGAGTCAAACTCTGCTGACTAACAGCAATGAAACCTTAGGCAAGTCATTTCACTTCTCGAACCCTGTTTGCTCGCTTAGACAAGGAAGGTGTTAGATTCGATGAATCCCTGCTGTTTCTGTGATCCATGACTATAAGTTTTAGCTATCCAGGATGCTGGGGAAAGTATTTAAGTGTTCATTTTTTGGGAGGCCATATTAAAGAGCTTTGTATTATTTCCTTTGTCTCATTATGAGTCCATCTATAAATTGAATCTTTGCTGAATTTTCCTGGGCAATCAGGCATCATGAATTTACTATTTTGATCCAGGCTATGACAGTGATAGAATGGCAGGGAAAGGGGACAAAGAATGAAAAGCATCACAGTGCTGAGCCTGTCTATAAACTTGAATTTGGTAATTGGTGCTCCAAGTGTGAGATCCATGTTCAGTGAGCATACATCACAGCTTAATGGATGCATGGGTCCTGGGGAGCTGGAAAGAAGTTGGTGAAATTTACTTATCAGTACATTCAATGGCACTAATAAACGTTATTTCATGAGTTATTTGGTTATCTTGTATTGCAATACTGATGATAGGTGTTTGCCAGAAGATCACCTGAAACGAATTGCAGCTTATGTACCAATATTGGTTGTTGAGGATAAAAAGAGATAAAGAAATTGTATGAGAAACTTAATAAAAACCCTCCAGAGTAAATCATGATACATTCTTCTATTCGTTGACTTTAGTGCAAAGGTAGGAAAGGGTAAGGAAGGCAAAAAAGTATATGGAAAGGCCGTGTTCAGAGAAAAGAAATGAGATAGCTCTAAGACTTGTGTTTTCTATCAGGATCACTTTCTTTGAGAAAATAATTGGTAGGCTCTAGACATGATGAGAGCTAAATAACAATAAAGAAAGTGAAATATATTTTAATAGAAAGAGAAGACTTGTTATTGTTTAAAGAGTTATCCCTGAATCTGCTTTCTGTGTTTGTTCGGTCAGAATACTGATTTGTCAGGGTAAAGACCAGAATGAATAAAATTCAGAAAGAATAATGAGAAAAGAATTAAAGAAATGCACAATTGAAAAAATACGGTGTACAGCCTTACACTAGTAAAACAAATAATTATCAGTATAAAAGACA